AAAACGGGATTACGAACAGACAGAATAAGTTAGCGAGAGAAGAGAAAGGGGAGATGGGGTAACGGTAACACAAACAAGTTATTATACATTAAGCAAATTGGTCATGGCTTGTCTTGTGATCTTTGTCAATGGATAAGAAAGGGGAAGTCATTCCAATGCCAAGGAGGCTTTATGAACACTTTTGGCACACCAAGCTGAGACAAAAATCAGCTGCAGCAGAGTGCCATAGGCCAATCGGTGCGATGAAGATCGCAGCAGAAAGCACCACACTATTCTGTAACACAAGCCAAGTAAAGGCAGACCTCCGGTCTTACAATTATTTCAACACAGCTTTAGAGAAAGTACAATTAAAACTGCACAGTAGATTATAAAAGAATAAAGGATGGTAACACTGAGCACAGGACTACACAGAAAGCTGTATGAGTCCTCAGAACCCTACCTGAGCCAAAGGCTTTTTAGTTCATGCAAACTGTTGGCTGGGTTCAGATTGACACAATTCCCTGTTCTTTGAATGGAGAGCAAATGAAAAAAAACATCCCCAGTACATAGTTCCACGAGGCTTCTAATACCACCCACCCTGACAGCCCAGCTAGGGAAAGGCAACTGTAAGCAGCTACCCGTAGTGGAATAAAGATATGCTTGGACAACTGGTGTGCCACACAGACCAGTGTGGCACATGTGACCATCTGGAAAAATCCAGATTTGGAATTTTCAGTGAAACTCACCTGAATTTTCAGTGAAACTCACCTGAAAGAGTGGCACGACCTCAGATACTCCCTGAGGATCTTCAGGGTCCTGAAGGAGGATACATAGGTAGTAGATAACTTTTTGCTACAAGACAAACAGACACAATCACTGGAGTTTGAAAAAGCTATCAAATTGCCTGGAGTTAGCAAAGAAAGAGGAACTGTTTCAACTCACTGGGCTGAAGGCAAACCATCCCAGGCCACAGTCAAGTCTACCAATTTATATCTATAGCTTTCCCACAATAAAAAAATAACTTCAGCTGTGGGGTTTTTTCTATTAAATTTTTAACCTGAAAAGAACACACATATGTGGAAGGGTAAGGTCTGCTCTTCTACAGGAGCTTTGCAGAAAAATCATCATTTGTGTCTTCTACCTCCTCATCTCTGTCTTGACTACAGAGTTGGCCATCAGGCTTTGTGAAAACAGCATAACACAAAGAAATAAAACCACTAGCTCAGTGTCTGTGGCACTATCTAAGAGATGGATTTGGCTTTTTGAGGTTTCTCCTTTAGTTTGAGTTCTCCTTTAAAGGTAAGAGATGAGAAACTAGAGAGGGAAATCTGAAACAAAGCTCCTGATGTCAGTAAAGCTATGGATAGTGCTGGATTTAATTGCTCTGGTAAACCATACTCATGAAAATAAAGTGGATGTGAGTGTGCCCACAGAGACAAGAAGAAAGGCTGTGTATGATTACCATATGGATGGCTTCATTGATAACCACATCCTTCACTTGACCCATCTCAATGAAGGTTGTACTCTCTTTTCCTGAAGCGTAGGATGAAGTCACTTGAATGCCAAGTGAGCCAATGACCAACAGGGATTCCTGGTCAATTTTGACGAAGTGCAGGTATATGATCAGACCAATCAGTGAGATGAAGATTGCGGCAGAAAGCACCACACTATTCTGTAACACAAGCCAAGCAAAGGCAGAGCTCTAGTCTTACAATTAATTGAACAGAGCTTTAGAGAAAGAACAATTGCATGGTAAATTAAAATATTAAAGCTATAGTTACAAAGCAATTTTAGGCAGAGTCAGCCCTTTTAATTCACCGAGCTGGCTGATACATGTGTAATGAGATTTAAATCAGTCTTCACAGTATGGACTGAAAGAATTGGGAATTGAAACTGAAAACTGCAAGAAAATTCTATTCTCTGGTAAATTTAGTGCAGAAATCTCAACCAACACAAGCTAGTTATATCAATGACTGTGTATTATACCAATGTCTATAGGGATGATGTCACTGACAAAGAAGTGTTGTGAAAGAACAGGAGGTGGATTCTCAGAGGGCAAGAACACTCCTCCAGGAAAAACCACTGGCCTGGTGGTTTTCTTCTTACAAGTCTACACTTGTTCAAACCTCACTCTCTTCCTGCCTTAAACACCAATCTAAAGAAGATTTGCATTCCCCTGTGCTTTGTCTGAGGACAAATGTCTTTTGCATGCTGCAATCCTGGGATTGCCATTACATTTTAATATATAACTGATGAAATTATAGTCACCAGTAAGTCATCTGAAGACCTTGTAATAAATTCTCAAGGTCTGCAACCCACAGTCTATTTCTGGGACATGTTTTAGAGAGCTCCACGTCACATACACATGAATCAAAGTTATAACTGACACTTCCTGAAGGACCAGAACTGCACAGCCCTACCACTCAAGCTGGGCCTGGACCACCACGTGAGCTAAGGAAGCCACTCTTTGGAAAACATACAGGACTCCAAAAGTTTGTTATCATGGAAAAAAAACCCTGTTAGGAACTACAGACACTGAAATCTACACAAAGAGGGAGACACCTTCAGACTTTCAGACCTGGTTTCCTAGGCAAAGGAAGAACTGCAGTCATTTACAAGCTGCATGAACATGTGTACAGCCAAGCAGGAGGAGAGTGGGTGGTGACTGCCGGCTGGAGTGTATGTTTTTGTAAAATGTGAAACTCAAACAGAGATTCTCTTCCAGGAAGAGGAACATGAACCATCTTTTCATATCTGACGCCTGATAACTGACTCACATCGCAATCTCTGTTTTCATTGCTTGGGAAAGATTATTGAAAAAACTGTGCAACTGTCAAAGCACAGGTCAAAGTGACCAGCTTCTTTGGTCAAGCTACCGACTTCAGTCTAGAGATAACTAGTTGGGTCCAGTTTCTGATAAATCCAAAGGTATTAGTTTAGATGTCAGCAGCTTTTGAAATCTGCACTGCCAACATCTTTCCCTCAGCTGTGAAATGTGATGACATTCACGGTGCAGTGCTCTGAGTCACTCTGGAAAATTCCTTCTGGGAATTAACAATCACCATCTTCAATACCTCCTTTATTCTAGATTCACACAATTTGTCTCTTCAAATAACCATTACTTGTTACTTGAACTCACAAGCATGCGCCAGGCATCACTCAGCACCCATTCGCACATGTACCCTATCTGTAAAGAGGCTGGCGAGTGGCAGCCCGCGGCCCTCAGACTGGCACAGCCTTCTCTTTTTCACCACACAACCATCACGCCCGGCGCTCCCAGGGCGGGGGGGGGGAAATGCCCGGGACACGCGATGACCACCTTCCCACCACTCCGGCCGCCCTCCGTGTCCCGGGCGCCGCTCGGCGAAGGCTGCGCGGCTCCCCCAGCCCGGCGGGATCTGGGGACACACGCGGCCACCGAGGCCCCCGGGTGGCCCTGACCGGCCCGGTGTGCCAGCGGGACGGCGGCTCCGGGGTGCAGCCGGGTCACCGCTCGGTGCCTGAGCCGCGAAGGGATCCGAGGGCGGGCGGCAGGGGTCGGTACCTCGCTTATCGCGAAGAGCCCGTAGGCCGCCAGCCAGACGGCGGAGGTGGCGGCGCTGAGCGAGCGGAGCTGCAGGCGGGGCCCGCGCACGGCCAGCTCCCGGCAGGACGCGCTGTGCTGCCGGCGCCGCAGCGCGATGGGCGCCCCGGACACCGAGCGGAACCGCCGCTCCTCCGCCATGCCGAGCAGGCGGAGCCGCGGCCCCGGAGCGGCAGGAGGGGCCGCGGAGTTTCCGCCGTCATGCGGGAGGAGCCTGAGCCGAGGAAAGCCCTGCAGGCCCAGCGCTCTCTCCCCGCCCGCCCCGCCGTGCCCGGCCCCGCTGTGCCTCCAGGGTGGTGCCGAGCGATTGTCTCGCTTGGCTGAGCCTCGCCAAGCGTCTTTCCTTAATCCCAATGACATCAAAAAGTTTCCGCGGCTTGCACATGTTGATAATTCACTGCGTGCTTCCTCTGTTGTTTGAATATCAGTTTTAAAGGACACAGGTTTTAGTGGTGCTGTGTGTGTCTCTTGCTGCGATGAAGAGACGGAGGTTTTCATAGAATCATAGAATGTTAAGAGGTTGGAATGGGCCTTAAAAATCATGGAGTTCCGACCCTCCTGCCATGGGCAGGGACACCTCCCACTAGCCCAGGTTGCTCAGGGCCTTATTCAATCTGGCCTTGGAACACTGCCAGAGATGGGGCATCCACAACCTACCTCCCTGGGCAACTTGTTCCGGTGTCTCACCACCCTCACAGTAAAAAATTTCTTCCTAATATCTAACCTAAATTTCCCCTTTTGTGATTTGTACCCATTGCTCCTTATTGCATCACTACAATTCCTGACAAAGAGTCCCTCTCCAGCTTCCCTATAGGTCCGCTTCAGATACTGGAAAGTTGGTATGAGGTTTCCTCGCAACCTTCTCTTGTCCAGAAGGTTCTCTTTTCCCCGTTCGTTTTTACCATATATGACTATGTAAATGTATTTTCTTGTCTGTACCATGCTTAGCTACAAGCTCTTTTGAGTTTTTTTTTTTCCAGTATTTTTTTCAAAGTTTAAAGCAATGTTTTCTGGTTCCTTGCCATCTAAGTACATAATAAATTGAGACTTGGCTTTGCATCCAGAGACTTAATGAGTCTTTGTATTGTGTTCTCTATAACGCATTTCAGTTATTACTTCATGTGACTTACCTGGCAGTGATATAAAGCAACACCACTGTAACTTCCAAACTGCCATCCTGATTCCCTTGGTCTTTTTATTATTTCCCTTCTCTCAAGGTTTTGGAGTGAATCTTAGCTTTAATTGCAGGTGCCATCTTTCTGTGAGCAATTTTCTTCATTCACAGTATCTTCAGGGCTCTTGTTTTTGTAGGGGCAGCAAAGGAGTCTTTAACGAACATGAGAAACCAAGGGGCATTGAAGAATTACTGCAGAGATCTTTGCTTGGCCTGGAGGAGTGGGAGATGGCTGGCATTAGTGGAACACACATGCCAGATGGGCTGGAACTCTGAAGAGGAAAGGTGAGCTGACTTGGAACGGGAAAAAGTAACAGCAGGCAATGAACTCCAGAAATGGAGCAGAAAATGTTGAAGTCCAAAAGAGGGTGAAAGAAATTGACAGATGGAGTGAAAGGGGGGAAAAGTAATAAACTGAAAGCAGTAAAAGAGGGAAGAAAGGTGAGAAGGACTGAAGTAAATAAACAAGCTCTGGTATGACAGCCTCAGAGATGGAGACAGGGAGAAGGGGAAAGAGAAATCAGAGTAAGGGGTAGAAGAAGTGAAAGCAGTGTGATAGAAGGGAAAAGAAACACGAGCTCCTGGAGGAGTGGTAATGGTAATTCACAATACTGACAAGACATGGGGATTTGCTGAGATACAGAGGCAGGGAGAGGACTTGGAAATCTTAAGAGGAAAAAGCAAAAGTTTGCTTGGATTTTTTTGTGTGTCAGTGGCAAGTCCCAGTTTAACCACGTTTGTGCTCTGTCATCTCACAAACACTGTCAGCTTTTCTTTCAAGCATGTGCATAAGACTGCACATTTTTCAGTGGGAGGGAAAAAACGGGGGCCTTTACTCGTTTTCAAATAATTTCTTAACCATCCTTCAAACATGACGTGAATGGAACAGTTGGAGCTTTCAGACAGTTGGAGCTTTCAGACTTGAGATTTGTCTCAGGCCACAACTCCCCGAGATGAGATATTCAGGGCAGGTGCTAGAGAGGTGGCTCTTCATTGTGTTATCAAGGTCATCAGATGAGGAGCGTCACTCCAGTTTTCCTTCAGTAAAGGCAGGGAGCAGCGTTCCCGCACGGAAGCTCTAAGGAGTCCTGCGTGGCTGAGATTCCCCCTTATCCTCCGAGCCGTCGCCGCGGGTGCCCCCGCCCCGCTCCCCGCCTGTCCCCCCGGCAGCGCGAGGGGGGCCGGCACTGCACCTGCCCCGCCGAAGGGGCTGTGGGTGGAGCCCGTAAAGGCGCCGCCGCCCGTAAAGGCACGGCGGGGGCCCGACAGCCCTGTCCGCACCGGCAGCGGGATGAGGCGGCCGGGAGTGGAAAAACCCCGGGAGCGGCGGGAGGGGCAGGAGGAGCCGCGTGCGCCGCGGGGGGGCGGGACACACCTCCGGGCGCGCGCGCTGCCGTTGGCCGGGCAGCGCGGGGGTGTGGGGGGCGGGGCGCGGCGCGCACGGGGCGGGGGGGCGCGGTGAAAGGAGCGGCGCGCGGGCGGCGCGCGGCAGCATCACCGGCACCGGCGGGCAGCGCGCGCCATGTCCCTGCGCGGCGGCCTCGCGCGGCTCCTGCGCACGCGAGCGGACGCGGCGCCGCAGCCGCCCCGGCGCGCGCGCTCGGTGGCGCTGGTGGGAGCGCCGCTGTCCCGGGGACAGGTGGGCACGGCGGGGGAGCCCGGCGGGGGGCAGCGCCCGGCGGGGGGCAGCGCCCGGCTGAGGGCTGCGCTGGCTGACGCGTTCCCCTTCTCTTTGTCTCGCAGAAGCGGCGAGGAGTGGACCACGGTCCCGCGACCCTCCGCGCCGCGGGGTTGGTGGAGCGGCTGGCCGGGCTCGGTGAGGCACCGCGCGGCGCGGTGGGGCGGGGGTGGCGGCGGGGACTGCGGGGATGCCCGCGTCGTCCCCCTCCCCTTTCGGGAAAGCGTGACTCAGCCGCTCGCTGCGGGGTGCGGGGAGACGGGTCCTGCTTCCATTCCCCCCCAGGCCGGCGATGCCCGCAGCCTGGCTGCAGTGCCGGGAGGGACAGGCTTGTCGCATTCCGCACCCGGCAGAGTCGCACCGGGGCCTCGCGGGGTCCCCTAGAACAAAGAGAGGCCGATGCTCCGGCTCCCCGAGCGATGCGCTCCTGCTGCTCGGGATCAGCGGGGAGCCGGGAGCGGCTGTGCCGGCACAGCGAGCGCTGCACCGGCACCTGGGGCGTGTGCTGTTCCCGTGGTGACCCCGGGAAAGCTGGAGAAGACAGAGGCCCTTAGAAACGCTGTGTGCGCTCTGTGCATGCAGCCAAGTAACCCTTGACGAGATCATCTGTTGTTCACACGTGGAAACCCACCACTGTGTGGGTGGGTTTTTTTGGGTTTTCTTTCGTCTCTGTGTTGTTTTTGTTTTTTTTTTTTTCTCCCCCATGTGCCTTACCAGCTACTTAGCTTGTTCCTAAAATGCTTGTACGCTTTCAGGTGATAAAATTTAGAGCTTTCTGGAGAAATCTACAGTTTTGTGTATGAGGTCTTGCCTGCAGCTTGACTCTGAAAACTTTGTGAATGGAGAGTTTCTGGTCTTTTTGTGCAAGGAAACCCATGCGCTTATTTGTGATTCAAGCTTCTCCATCTATCCTTCTACAAGCCTGAGACCTGCAGAAAACTATATCACAGTTATTAGAAATAGGACATGAGGGATAGAAACTTGTAAAGCCAAACTCTGTCTTGGAGGATCTTTAATCTAAAAAGTGTTAACTGAAAGCTATGATGGGGATGGATTGCAGGGCTGGACCACAGAAAGAACTGCTGTCTGCTCTCTCTGTGGTTACTCAGTGGACTTAAGATGCATACAGAGATAATCGCCTAATAATCCTCTAGCAATTTTATTCTGAATTTTAAGATCTCTTCAAAACAAAAGCAGTTATTCGGTGCAGTCCTTATTCTGAGAAGTGCTGTAGGCTTATCCTGCATACCCTGTGATTCACAAGTTGAAAAGTCCCAGTTTGCAATCAGATGAGTAGGCATTCTCTCCCTGTCTTGTTTTGTGCAAAGTAGAGACACATGCTGTCCTTGGCAATGTTTGAATTCTGCTGAGCATGATCTATAAGCTCAGAAAATGTTGAAGAGGGCATCTAACAGACACTTTATATACTGGAATAGTTACTGAGCTTAGAGTTTATTTAAAACTAGCAAGTTACCAGATTTGAAAGGAGGATGTTACTCTAAATGAGACTGTAGGCAACAGTTTATTTCATATTAATAACAGGCTTTTATAATGGAAGGCTTGGAGTCCTCTTTCAAGTGGTTCAGAGCTAATATTTCTATTTTGTAAGAATTCTTTAGTGGGAAAAAAAAAAAAGAAAAAACCACAAACCCCAACAAATTTAAAAACTAGGAGAAAAAGCCCTCTAATTTGCATGACACAAGCTCACTTCAAAGGAACTTGTAGAAGATGGAAAGAAAAGAGAATTCAAGTTCTTTCTGGATTCCAGTGACAAAATGTTGTGGGATAGAAATGAAGTAAGCTAAACTAAAAAAAAAAAAATGTGGAAAGTGAAAAATACTTTGACTGTTTAGTTGCTTATAGACTCTTTGCTCATCAATCAGTAATGCACATGGAGATATTTTGTTGTTGTTCCCTTACAATTTATTTCTTCTGCAATGCAGTTTCCTATTGCTGACATGTTCTTCCGTTGCGGTAGGGTTGTTCTGTTTTTTTCAGCCAGGGTTGGTCTATTGCTGCTTAAATCTCTGCAGCTCTTTAAGGAACAGGTTCTGCTGTGACGACCCATCTTGAAACAATTGCAGTCTCCAGCATGCACGGAGGAGTGGTTTACAGAGCAAAGACAATTTGCTCGAGGGTAGGGTGGTAGATGGAGGAGGACACTACCATGTAGCCTTTTCTATTGTACACATATGTTGTTCATGGAAACTTACTTAACAAATGCTTGGTTTTGTGTGGAGGCTGTTTATTTTTCTTTCTTGGGTTGGCAGCATAGCTTTGGCTGTAGTACTGTGATAATAGTGCCATTACTTGGAGTCCTGTGGTATGCTGAACTGGCAGTAAAACTTTAGCTGCTTTGTCTTTCTAACACTATAATTTTCTTCTCAGACTTGAAGAAGGAAATGGAGCCACAGTATTATTCTCATCATTAACTTGGATGTTCTATTTATCTGTTTTGTTACAAGAGTTAATAATTTTCAT